CGGTATAGAGTTTGGACCGGATTGAGGTAAGTAATAATTGTAAATATTTGTCCTGAGGGTATCAAACCCCGAATTTCACATCATTGTGCTACTTTGAGGTGACACAAATGCTAGATGACGAGCGTGAGGTCGTGCACCGTTGGGGATTGTGACTTAGTCTGTCCCGTATGATTGTTAAACCGCGTATTTGATTGAAAACTGTTTGATATCATTGTGTTTTGGAAAGTATTATCATGTTTTGGGCTGAATGCCATATTTGGGCCTCGTGCCAACTATTTTGGATCCTTAGGGGATTTTTACCATTATTCCTCTCTGTTTTGACTTTATATTTGTACTCAGTCATGCCTTTTTCTACTATTCTCATAACTCAGCCATATTTACTCCGTTTTGATGTTTTAAATGATATTTTTGGGTTGAGTATCATGTTTTACTGTTGCTCGAGTGACATGAGAGATTTCTGACTGAGTGACGCCGAAGGCCCGTGGTGTGAGGATATTATGGGATTGGGTTGCGCGCCGCATCGGTGTGGTACTGATTTATAATTATGAGGCCGAAGTCCTGATTGGTTATGCCACGAGGTGGCTTGATATGAGGCCGAGAGCCTATTTGATTATGCCATGAGATGGCTTGACATTGCGCTTGGGCTGTAAAGGGCCCCTCCCGTAGTCTGTACACCCCTAGTGAGCGCGGGTACCCTGAGTGAGTGATATATTGATTATGCCACGAGATGGCTTGTTATTGTGCTTGGGCCGTAAGGGGCCCCTCCCGAAGTCTGTACACCCTTAGTGAGCGCGGGTACCTAGTGTGAGATGTGATATAGCCCGAGGGGCTGATGTTGTTCCATTTTATTGCCCGAGGGGCGATTCTTGATCTATGTTATGCCCGAGGGGCTGATTTCGAGTGATTGTGAGGTAGCTCGAGGGGCTGGTTCTATTGATATTATGCTCGAGGGCGGTTTATGGTACATATTTTGCCCGAGGGGCTGTTTACATTTCTATCATGTTTACTCACTGTTTTATCACTTGTTTGAAACTATTGAAAATTGTTTAAAATGTTTTACTGAAACTGAGTTTGACTTACGAAGTAAATGATTTATGTACTATTTTGGAAGTGTACTATATTTGCTGTAGCGTCATGACGTGGCTTACGTGTTTTCTTACTGCTCAACTTTCATTTACTTTTATTACTTACTGAGTTGGCGTACTCACATTACTCCATACACTTTTTGTGCAGATTCAGGTTTTTCTGAACCCGGTAGCGGGTGTTAATTGCTTAGTGGTAGAGTCATCGGAGTTGGCAAGGTAGTTGCCCGGCGTTCGCAGCCCTGCTCTCCTCCCTCTTGTCTTCCTTAGATTGTTTTAGTATATTTTAGACTCTTCTTTATATCCATACCTTAGTAGATGCTCATGACTTGTGACACCCCGATGTCGGGCTTGTATATTTATTCTGCACTGTTCGTTTAGATTTATATTATGAGATATTGAATAATTAAAGGCTTAAAAATGATTCTTATTGATTAATGGTTAATTCGGGAGTGTGTTGGCTGGCCTAGTTTCACGATAGGCGCCATCACGACCGTCGGTTTTAGGGCCGTGACAAGTTGGTATCAAAGCCTAGGTTACATAGGTCTCATGAGTCATGAGCAGGTTGAGTAGAGTCTCACGGATCGGTATGGAGACGTCTGTGCTTATCCTCGGGAGGTGTCAGAACCTTTAGGAAAACTTCACATTCTTGAACTCTTATCGTGCGTCCTTGGTTCAGCGTGAAATATAACTCTTTGAATTCCTTCCACGCATTCGTATGCGTGCATGAGCACTCAGTATCAGATATGCGTCGATGGCTTATGGTTCCCTGATCGAGGGGCGAGATGTGATCTTAGTGTGTTGATGTTGGGACAGTCTGGAGGACTTGAGGCCAGGTTTTGCCTATAGATTGAGCACTGAAGCATTGATTGTGTGAGCACGTGCTTTTAGATTTGTATGTTCGATAGTGTCCCGATTAGTGGGAGTGATGATTGGATAGTTACATGATGAGTGTGATGTGACTGCAAGATATGTTCATATGAATTGAATGAGACGAGAAGGGTCTGCTTTGGGGTAGCAAGAACTATCTGGTGCTTGATTTCTATCGTGAGTTGATGTATAGCCTCGAGTTGTGGGTGTGTTGAAGGATATTTACATGTTGCCTAGTTGGGAAGTGAAGTAGATTTCACGTTGTGATATGAGTTCAGACTCAGGAAGATTAAGTTACTGCGTAATGTTTATGACACTGGAAGGGTATAAAGAAATGTTAGTTTGAGGTGAAGCAGGTGGGTTATCTCTTGCGGAGTGTTCTGAAGTTTGTGTGATCCTTATGTTGCTTGTTGGAAGATCTCTTTTATCAGTGAAATATATGTGTTGTAATTTGAATTTGGGTCGCTTAAGAGAGTGGGCTTGACTATTACGAGGGTGAATGCGGGATTTGTAGAAGATTTGAAGTACTAGATGGTCTATGTTGCACGAGCTTATGAAGGATTGAGTTTAATCTCACTATGGTATTATGGCAGTAATAGAGTATATACATTATGAGTTATTGTGTGTTTTGATTTATGGCTTTGCGCCAAGTGGGGGAGTCTGCTATTGATTAGTTGATTGCACAGTTATGTGCTATGCTGGTTCTAGTTGGAGGCGTGCTGGTGAATCAGTTATGGCTTACAGAGGTTGAGACCAAGGATGCTCGAGTAAAGGAAATTTCAATAAAGGTTATGTTATGCTTTATGGGTATATAAGAATCACAGAATGACTTGAGTTGTTATGAGTAAAGGGTGTATTGTGCATAGAACAGGACGTTGCTTGGTTGCATTAAGTTGAGGTTACGTTCTGCGGTTGTATTGAGTACCCCAATAGTTGTGAGATCGCTTGACATAAATAAATATCTATTTCGGCCTCAAGAAAATGACGAAGAACTCACTGGTGATCAAACTCCATATCTTAGTGCAATTGGGGCACTGATGTGTTTTGCTAACAATAGCCGACTAGATATTGCTTTTGCAGTAAGCTTATTAACAAGACTCAGTTCCTCCCCAACAAGAAGACATTGGAATGGTTTAAGCATATATTTAGATATCTTCGGGGAACTCCAAATATGAGATTGTTTTATTCTAATGAATTCAAGTCAGAAATGATTGGCTATGCTGATGCAAGTTATTTGTCTGATCCACATAAAGCCCGATCTCAAATAGGCTATTTGTTTACATATGGAGGTACAACTATATCATGGCGTTCAATGAAATAAACAATAGCTGCCACATTTTCAAATCATGCTGAGATAATAGCCATTCATGAAGCTAGTCGGGAATATGTTTGGTTGAGATCAATGACTCAACATATTCAGGAAATGTGTGGTTTTCTTATGAAAAAAGATAATCGAATTACACTATATGAAAACAATGCTGCTTGCATTGCTCAACTGAAAGGAGGATACATCAAAAGAGACAGAACAAATCACATTTCACCAAAGTTCTTTTTAATGCATGATCTTCAACAAAATGGTAAAATTAATGTTCAACATATTCGTTCATGTGAAAATTTGGCTGGTCTGTTCACTAAGGCATTACCAACTTCAACATTTGAGAAGTTGAGATAGAAGATTGGAATGCACCGTCTTCGAGAAATAAAGTGATGTTTTCATGAGGGGGAGTAGATACGCGCTGTACTCTTTTTCCGTTAGCCTAGGTTTTGTCCCATTGGGTTTTTCTGGTAAGGTTTTTAACGAGGCAACAAGTAAAGCATATTACAGATATGTGTACTCTTTTTCCTTGACTAAGTAGGCGTTTGGACATGAATTCCAAAACTTTTTTTCCAATTTGGAATTTCACTAAAATTTGAATTGAAGATGAAGTCGTGTTTGATTATAATTTTTGCAACAAATTTGAATGTTTTTTTTATAAAATCATGAAACATGATTTATACCCCACAACTTGTAAAGAATATCAAAATCACCCCAATTTGATTATCCTACTTGAAATAAACAATCAAAATGCTATTGTTTAACTGTTATCATATTCTTCTTTACTGCAATACGCAGAAGATGCAAAATCAATATTACATTTTCTAATTCTGCTAACACACAGAAAAGGTGCAAAAGCAGGCATAGCTACATATTTTTCATAAGTCATAACCATATAATCAAACTTCCAGTTGGTGGAGTTCAAGTATCAACTAGGACTGATGTTCCACCATCAGTCGCCAAAGATGTATTTGCCAAAGATGAAAAATTGGTTGGGTCATTTTATAAATTTTAAAAATATAGGGTAAATTTATAAAATTAAAAATTAGCAAATTCTCATTTTCAAGTGAAAAAGGAAAAATTGGTAAGAATGGGATAACCAAACATTGTTTTCAAAAAAAAATTTGAAAAAAAGGAAAAAATTTGTATGTCCAAATGGGCTCTAAGATTTTTTTTTCCAGTAGGGTTTTTTCTTAGTAAAGTTATAACGAGGCATATTATCTATTTTGGACATCCAAGGGGGAGTGTTGTAAAATCTATAGTAATTATGGATGTCCACTACTCTCTTTACTTTCACACATGATGTAAATAACCTTCCACTACTCATCACTATTATGATTGTAACTCCCACACCTCCATAACCCCTCCCCAGGATCTCAATTTTTAATGTCATGTTTAAGACATTCCTTTTGTAACTTTCTATGTAATAGTATAAATGGAGACATAAAATGTAATATGGGACACACTTAAACAAATTATGAAATAAGAAATTTATCTCTTTTCTCTTATTCTACTTATCTTCTTATTTTATATTGTTACTTTAAGCTGCATTTCTTCATAATCTCTTTTTATATGGAATTTGTAACCCAATCTCACATGTAATTTTTCCAAATATATATCATATAGAAATATCTTTGATTTTGTAAAAAAGAAAAAGGATTAGGGAGTAGATTTCTAGAAAGAAAAAAGAACAAACATAAAAAAGGAAGGAATTAAAAAAAAAACAGGTAGCGGGTGGGACAGGTGCAAAATCCAAAGAAGTAGCCAAACTCCACTGTGAAAGAATGTCCTTCATTCAGGCCATAGAAGAGAAGAGAAGAAATGTGAAAGAATAAAGAGGCCGATGGCAAACCCTAGAAGGATTTCATTTTCCCCTTCCGGTAACCACCACCAACTTCCAATATCCGCCGCCGCAGGATTTCAGAATCAGACATCAACCCAAATGTCAAGTTTGATATCCTTCCTGAAGAAACCCCATGCTTTTCCTTTCCTCCTTTCCCTCTTCCTTTTCCTCACTTGGGTTTCCCTCAGATTCCAACGTCCCTCAGATTCAAGTCATCAGCGGGAAGAGTGGCATCCTGCCAAGTTTTATTCTTCTGGTTCAGATCAAATGGCTAATCTTTTGAGGTTCCCAGCTTCCTCTTCTTCCATTGCTAAAGATAAACGTGGCTGGTTGCTCAACCCCATTTCCCTTGCCCTAGATTCTGCCCTTTCAGGTCTCCTCTTTCTCCTTTTTTTTGTTTAAGAAAAAATATACTACCATATGTTAATGTATTAACTATAATAATATTTACCTTAAAAGACAGAATATGCGTGCTCCTGAAGATAGGATTTTTTTTTTTGATGACCGATGAGAAATCGGTCTGGAGCCGATCCTTTGGACCAACCGCAGCCTTCAAACTCGGTAGATAGTGGGCCCGCCCCTCTGCCCTTCTCCACTTAAATACCAGGCTTAACCTCGCATGATGTGAGGGCTTGAACCTGTGACCTAAGACACAAATCCACCACCCTTTGCCACTTGAGCTAGGCCCTGGGGGCCTGAAGATAGGATTTAAATACGAGCTATATATGTATGTTCATACTCCAATGCATTTAAACGGGTCTGTATGTTTTTGGTGGATTAGCATCTCGAGGTCCTTTGATGGGCATAAAGATGTTGTGTTGGTTGCAACCACCAAGTAAATAGAACATGGGTTAGCAGTTAGCTCATTACTGCCTACACTGGTCTTGAAACTGCTTTCACATTAGCCCCATTAAGGTTCCTAGTTGTATTCTGTTCGAATAAAGAGTGTTAAGCCAAGAAGGAAAATCGTTAGCATTAAGCAAGCAACTTGAATACAAGGACCTAGAGGACCAAGGAAAGTTTAGTTTTTTACTAGTAATATATGTAGCTTCTTTTGTAAGCGAATGGATATTTAGGATTTACATGACCTGCCCTGACTAGTTTGGCCTTAACGCTTAGTTCATTGAATGATATGTATAAATAATAGAGAATGGTAGAAAATTAAGAAAATGTGCAAGCCTAGAATTGACGTTATTGCCAAAGATCAGAAGGCTAATCTTGTGAGGTTCCGACCTTCCTCTTCTGTTATTTCCAAACATAAGTCTGGGACGTTCTCAACCCCATTTCTCTTGGCCTCGATTTTGGCATCTCTCTTTTTCCTGGTAATGCATAAAAGCTCTACTTAATAGAAGCAAAGGATGTATGCAAATGATACCACCTTGTTGGTTTAAGCTCTACTTGTTTTTGGTAAATATTTATATTAGGTTTGATGTTTGCCAGGATCTTTTTGGTATGGTTAGAAGTTTGTATTTCGTCGTATGGGTATGCATTAGATTTAGAGGATTTTTAGTTTTATAGAAACCCCTAATTTGTCTCAAAAGAGAAATTATTGAGTATATGTATGAAAGGATCCAAATATTGGAATAGAATTCCAACTGGTTTGGGATTAACGCATAGCAGTTGTTGGATTGTTTTTTCTTTCTCGAAAATGTGCAAGTTTAGAATTAGAGTACATGGAAAAATAGATGGTATTTCTTCTCCCATTTCCCTGATACAGCGTATTTCTTAACCACAAGATAAATTTAAATCATTCTATATTGTCATCTTTTATTTGAAGTTTGCCTAGAATGATTTTGTCATTGACAAGGGGAAGTCATTCTTGCTGCAGGTGGGGCAGCAGGCTGTGCTTCAGTTCATTTGGGCGAGATCAGACCCGGTGGTGTTAGGGGCAACCACAGGCACCACACATGTAATGAGACATTTGTTATTTGGGGAGCTAAGACAGTATTCCGGGTATGTTTCTTCATCCCTGTAGTACCAGAGCTGAAAGCTTTACATCTCTGCCTATCTTAATCATTAGTAAGTTACTCTAGATTCACCTTTAACTATGTTTATCTGTAGGGATACATTTTCTTCTTTGAACATAATAAAGATGAATTTTTTTGAAATATTGGTTTATCCTTGTGACATGTGATGTATTTTGTTGGGGTGGAATAGATAAGCAATCTTGCTTAGAGTTGCTTTTAGATATTACAGTGTATTTAATTAGGAAGTGAATTTAGTAGAAATATGTCAATACAAGATGTCTGCTCCACTACCCGGCTCTTTAGGAATCTTATATTTTAGTTGCTGTCACTCGTCAAGGGTATTGTGTAGTTGTGTCATACTTCCCAGAAAAGCTAAGTCCTTGAACCGTATTTTGTGTGCTAAAGTTACATTTGTAAAAGTGTCATCCTGATTGGGTATTCTCGAAGGCTTTCCCTTAGCCTTAATCATGCTTTCTCTCCCGGTTCTTCAAAATCTTTGAAGCATCTATCAGAACTCTTCCCAAATTTACTTGTTCCAAAGTAGTTATATGTTCCCACATATATCATTCCCACTTTCTAATTTTTTTCAGTACAGAAGATATGTGTTGCAGACCATGAGGTGTGCGTGATTGGTTTTATCGCCTCTACTCCTGCCATTTTTCTATTTCCTTTGTCCATCTTCTTCATTGTGCAGTTCCTTACATTTCTTATCATTGCAATATAGTCTCTCTTTACTTGCCATTGAAGCAGGCATTCTGCTTGTCCTTTGAAAGGGTTCTGTATGATTGAATTTCTGCAGTTAGCTTCTTTAAAACTCCCAAATCATGATATGCTGATTATTCATTATTTCTAAATTGCATGAAAGGAAAATGAAGATGAAATAACCAAATAAAGCTATTAAATTATCTCTTTAATTACATTTCCCATAGCTTATCTTTGTGAATGAGTAATCATATTTTTCTTTTCTTTCTTTTGGGTCAGGATTGCAAGTTTGTTATATATACTAAGTCCTTGCTCTTGATTCACTGACTTTTTACAGCTGGAAAATGATGCGGTCAAAAAAGGCTATGCTGAAGTAATAATTGATGCAGATGAAGTTGCTGTTGCAGTCAGCCCCCACGGAACTGCTCATGCTCTAGTAAATGTTGATCCTGTGAAGAGTACATACTTCATGGGGTGCCAGGATAGTATAATCAACTACAATGGCTCAACGACTGACTTTAATGTGTGGAAAGATCTATAGGTTTTCAATGTTATATTTTCATGGTCGCTCCAATAAGGTAGCTGAAAAATAGTGTGGCAATTGAGTAGGTTCTTTTCTTGCCAGGTTTTCAAGTTTTGGGTTTTAAAGGGTGACTTAGTTTAGCTAGTGTAGATCTGGGAACTATGTACATAAGGCATAGCTGCTATTCATTGGCTTTCTTCCTTTCTTTCTTTTTTCCTTAACAAGGTTTGTGCATACACAGTTTATGATAAAAAGTACAAGGCCCTCCTTGGAAATCAGCGTCTCTATCTTCGAAATAGTAAGGGAAGTAGTGACGAAACCAACCCGTCCACCTGCTGGAAGCTATACTCAGTATCTGAGTTTTTGGATGTCATCCACCTGTTTGAATGTTCAGAGATCGGGTTATTATTACTTTAGGTGTGTTAAAGGCCTCGAGATGAACTAGTTTAACAGACGGCTTGATCTCTGAACATTTGAATCATCTTGATCGCTGAGAAGACCTTGTACTTTTCATCATAAACTGAGTACCGCACAGATCTTGTTAAGGAAAGTACTTTTTAAAGAGGTTAAGCTCAAATATATCTCTACAGGATGCAGCTTGCCAGTCAAACTGCCATACATATGGAAGCACTTTTTAAACTCTTGGAATTTATACTTTGAGCATCATTCCTCTTAAAGGAAAGAAGGTGGCTAATTTCCAGCAATTCAAAGCAAAGGAAGCAACTGCAAGTCAATGATAGTGGATTGTAATATTTGAAGAACATAAATCCTGCAAACCGCTGGTCATTTATCGAGTCAAGCAAGGTGCACTAGTAGGGAAATTCCATTTACAAAAAACAAAAAAAGAAGGGAAAAGAAAATCTCCATATACATACAAAAGCATCGCATGCAGAGACACGAACACTAGATAATTTCTTTTTCGCCGAAGTCTTGATGGACATAGTTACTTGTGCAAGCGAGAGGTAACAGACACATAACGATATGGTACCAGATCCTCAATGGAATAGTCAAGGTGCATACAAACTAACTCGACCACCATTTTTTATCAACCAAAAAGAAACGGAAAAAGCAAAGGCAGTCAGCATCTTTCAGCTTACAAAATATTCAAAAATCCTAAGAGGTCCGACCTTTTTTTTCTTTTCGCCCATTAAAAAGTACAGAAACTTCAAGATCTCAAGTTTAAAAAGACTATTTCTCTAAAGAAGAATTCTGCGACATGTCCTATCTATGTGCCAAAATGCTCTTCTTATAGATGTCAGATATGCTATACCAGAGCACTCGAAGCAAAAGGAGTCTAAAGCACAAAAGGAAACAGAGGAAAATGAGTCACTTGATCCTTCAACAGAGACAAAACCCAAGCTATTTTGTGGACGTTGTATCTAGAAAATGATGACCCTAAACTATATCCTCAAATTCTAGCTAACTGTAAAAACACATAATTTTACTTTGAAACTGGGAAGAAACTAAGAAAATCATGTTCTCTATGTCCAAACTATTAAAATTTATATAAAGGGAGACATTACATGGCAAGGGGAATACACACAGCCAAGGGAATCACATCAACTAGGAATCACTAGAAGAGGTTTCCATTGACCAAGAACAAAGGAGAGGTGAAAGAGTGCGACTAGCTGGAGAAATTTTCAATGACATTAAAATCATCTACATGAAGTTATATATCTCAGATAGGGCCCGAACTTGTTCTGCGAAGCTGATACTTAGGCTCTGGAGGTGGCACACTTGGTAAAATCTTCTCCATCTCCTGCAGATAAAAAGATCAGGTAAATTCTGAAAATAATAGCTGACATTGTGGGAACCAAAGGGAGGCAAGTTTCTACTGAAAATAGTCAAGAGACAACAAGTCAACTACAAAGCAAGAACTACTTTGCTATTTGAAATAATGACAATTACAGTTTGCAATGTCAGCACTTATGATTTCTCCAAAAGCATTTGACGGGGGCTAAACGCAATCCTAATTAACACAGATAATAGAAGTTCGGTTGGACAAGCGTAAGTCTTAACTACACTTCCGACAAGTTGATTGTAACTAAGTAATGAGTTTTTTAATGACCAAGCATTCCATGCAAATATCTAAAGCATTTCTTTTTGACATTATATGCATCTGGAAGCCACCTACCAAACTTTCCACAAGTTACCAACAACAACAACCCAATATAATCCCACTAGTGGGGTCTGGGGAGGGTAGATTGTACGCAGACCTTACCCCTACTTCCAAAAAGGCTGTTTCCGGTAGACCCTCGGCTCGAAAAAAGATAAAAGAAGGACAACAACAAGCATATCAATCGGAAAACCAGAGCAAAAGTACAAAACTAACAGTAAGTACTGTAATCAGAAAGCCGAAACGAAAGCAACAACAAGTAATAACAGAAACCACCAGTTACTAAGAATTTGAAAATCACGTCATTGTATGTGATTGGTTCAATTTGCTTAGGAATTCCTATAGTCAAACCAAAAGCATGAATACATTGAGAGACTGAAGGTAAGTCTTTTCTCATTTTTATGTGGTTGTTTAGTTTTTCTTTTGCGAATCCGTAACACAACAATATACAATGAAGCAATGCAGCCAAAAATGAGCTTCGCAAGAGTTATTTGTTCGGATGTTCCTCATAAATTTTTTAAAGAAGAAAGTGTTTTCAAGATAAATTTGAAGTGCAGCAAGCTGCAAGAGATGGATAGCTAAGTCAAGAAGGGTTCTTAAATCTATCAATTTCATGTATCATTTTTGTCTAGATGAAATTTAAAGTTCACTTCAGTTGGAAGATGAGGTCAAGCCTAGAACGTCTTCCCTGAAGGACTAGACACGAGAAGAAGTTAAGTGCGTCTGAAGTTCTTCAGTCCTTCCAACTATGGCTAGGAGTCACCAATCTCATGAGCTCTTCTCTAAATCAATGGTTCAACATTGAACTACAAATGGAAAAATTTAACATATCCTTCTACTTATGAGGCAAACTGAACGCTGATGCCCTCAACGGCCAAGCGCTAAAACGAATTAGGTCCCTGCTAGCCCTCCCTCCTACAAAATGTCCCCTTGATTTCTCATTAGTCATGTTTTTTCATTGAAACATATATGGAATCAACTTCTAGACTATGCAATAAATAAAGAAACTATAAAAAAGGGCACTGAAGCAAGAATATATGCAGTTGGATTGTTAGTAAAGTAATGCAATCTAGAACCATATCCTTACAGTGTAGCTGGATATGTAAAGCAGAATTACTAGATCTTTTAGCAGCCAGTAGAGCTTTCCTAGTCAATACTTTCACATAGAAACATGCATCTTGTGTGCATCTATGGGTGTTTTTACTTTTTGATTCTCCCGACACATTAAATGTATTGTTAAACAGAGAAGTAGCTTAAAGCCTCACAGCGACCAACAAAATAAAACAAATTAAAAACAGAAAAGGGGAATGAGAAACACATTTTTATTACAGAAAAGAAAAGGATAGTAAAGAAAGTTGAGGGCCTTCTAAAGTCTACTCCTGTTTTCAATGGCCTTTCTCTCATTTCAAATAGCTAATGGGCAATTCAATAAAGTGATTATGAAATTTAATAAGAGCAATTACATTTACTATAAGTTTGACGAAGATCCTTTTCCACACCTATAAATACTTAACCTTGACGTACTTTTATCACAAGATGACAATTACTTGTTAATATAGGCTATGCTAAATTTAAATAGCTAATGGGGCAATTCAATAAATGATTCTAGATTATGAATTTTAATAAGAACAGTTACATTTATTATAAGTTTGACAAAGATCTATTTCACACCTAAAAATACTTAACTTTGACATACTTTTATCACAAGACGACAAGTCACTTGTTAATAGAAAAGCTAAGTCTATTGATTAACCTATAGGTCACAGGTTCAAGCCGTGGAAGCAGCCACTAATTCTTGCATTAGGTTAGACTGTCTACATGACACCACTTAGGGTGCGGCCCTTACTCGGACCCTATGTGAATGCACAATGCCTTGTGCACCGGTGAAGGAAAACATCAGGTCGAATTAAAGATATAGCCAATGAACTTAGAGAAGTAAGAACTTCACAACATTCAACGAACAATAGACCATATTCAGTGAAAGATTCTTCCACAGAAAATATTGATTATCACAAATAAAAGTGAAATAAAGAGAATCTGTAACTGTGTGAACACAATGATATTGCACTGACAAATTTTCCTCATGTGTTTAGTCTCATTTATTGCACATAGCCATTGCAAAATGATGCTAATGACGTGAAGGATGTGATTAAGACATACCTCAAAGATCACTAGAAGAAATGCGAATGCAAATGAATACCGAGTTCATGCATGAATTATTTTGATTTGCCAATCCTACCTTCTGTCTTTTAAGTCTTTCATTCTCCTCTTCAAGCCGTGAAACCTTGTTCTCTAGTTCATGGGTGTAAGCCTATTAATCAGAAGAGTAAATTTCACGGGAAAATAGATGAATTATATCCCAAAAAACTGCAAAATAAGTCAAAAGCACCTGCTTCCTTGCTCGTGACCGAGCTGCAGATTCCCTATTTTTGATCATCCTCTTCTGCCTCCTTTCGACACTCTTTTCGATCACATCCTCTGGAGCAACCCGCTTTCTTCCAGATGTTTGTGTGTCCGATAATGTTCCCATTAGATGTGATGGAGACATTATCATCTGAGTTTCGGGATCCACAATTGGGTTAGCAACAACAGGTAAAGGCTGTTGAACCGGATGGCCTGGCATAAAAACTGGTACGATATTCTGTTGTTGTTGAAGCTGCTGTTCCGGTGCCTGATGCATTGTGGGAATTTGATAATGTGGCCACTGAGCTTGCTGTGCCAATGACATTGAATCAACCCCTAAAACTAAACCCGAAATTCTCCTGCCTTGGGTCGACTCTGCAATCACTCCAGCCTTGACCAAGAAATCCTCCAGAGTTATCTCACCAAAAGTAAGTTGTCTCTCCTGACTTCTCTTATCAATACTACTATCCCTCTGTTGCCCCTGTTGAATATCCTGCCACACCTCATCAACAGTCTTCTTGCTGAGATCTCTGGACAATGTAATGCCCGATGATTGTCGATGCAGGGAATTAGTCCAGTGCTGCGCTGCCCCATAATCATTTCCCCCCAATTCTTGACTAGCCTCAATAGTCCATACAGTTTTAACAAGCTCATCAAGATTCATGCTATTTAGTGGTTTCCCAAAATTCCCCAATTGATTCTGAACCTCATCAAGAGTGAGGCTGTAGAGTGATCCTTGCCTAGCCAAAACATTCGGCTTTGCTTCTTTTCCACCACCAACTCCCCCCTGAGATCCCATCCCATGAGTTACCATTCACCAGTATATCTATCTATCTATCTACCCACTCTCACCTGATCAATGAACCAATCCAGAAATCAGTTCCAAACCCCTCTATTCACCACACCAAAAACTAAAGTCCTAATCTTTGAAATGCACAAAGCCCAATGATTCACAACTAGGAATCAACCAATCCAGGAATCAATTTCAAACCCCTATATTCAACACACGAAAAACTAAAGTCCTAATCTTTGAAATGTGCATAAGCCCAACGATTCACAACTAGCAATCAACCAATCCAGAAATCAATTTCAAACCCCTATATTCAACACAGAAAGAAGTAAAGTTCTAACCTTTGAAATGTACAAAGCCCAATGATTCACAACGAAGGACATTTATTCCACAGAAGAACCCTACGAAGAAAAGATAAAAAGAAAAAATGACTCAAAACCATTTTCATATAAAAGCCATGCAACAGAGATTCAGAGGGAGAGATTTGGAAATGGCCACACACAAAAGAAGGGGAAAAAACAGATCAAGTCCAAGAAAATGCTAGAAACAGAAGTAGAAAATGGTGGAGAACATCATACCAGAAAACCGAGAAGGGGAAGAATCACTCAGAATCCATTAGCCTGCATGCAGCAACAAGAGAACAAAAACCCAAACAGATACAGTGAAGAAGTAGACCAAAAGCAATTTATATCCAAGACCATTAGCAGAGAGGAAATCAAAGAATTAAATAAACATTGGTTTTATCAACAGAGTAGTGTTTATTATTGACTCTTTTCTGGCTTTATTTATGAACAGTTTTAGAGGTTCTGTTACACCTGAGAGAGCTGAGCATGCAACCTTTTTTGTCCTCTTTTTGGTCAGACAGAAGAAGAAGAAAAAAGCTTGTAAACCAATAAGTGATTACTAGGTTCTGAATCTAGTTGTTAAAACGTTAATGACATCCTTGTCCTTTCATAAATGCATAAAACTAAGATTAATTACAAAAAAAGAGAATTAAATTAGCTGAGTGCAGCATTAAATAATCAAGTAGTGGGTTCCAATTAATTATATAAAAGATTCATATAATCACAGCTTTATTAGTTTAAAATTGAAATTGTTGATTGATTAATGCACATAGAACTACAAAACATAAAATATAATTCAGTACTATATTTTATCTCAAAAAGAAAAGAAAAGGGAGGAATATATTAGAGCACGATTCCCTTATTTAGAAGATTTAAAAAATTTGTCCCATCTGAACATCTTACTAAATACTAAAGCAATAATTGGAGCCTAGACCTATTTAAAGAAAATTGCTACATTGATTTGACATGAGATGCTTAATAGTATATACTTTTGTTTAGACCTTTCCTTTGAATTTTTTTTCTGAGGACAACTTGCCATATTTTAAAGTACATTACCTCATTTCGAAATATATGGAGTACTCACATTGAGTAATAATAAATAAATAAATAACCACACAATTTCATAAACCTACAAACTTTTTGAAAAACTCAATCATGCCTAGAAATTATTCTTTGTCTTGGTATGTGTTCTAGATATTCCACAAAAATATTTGATTTAAATTGGTGCATAAGAAAAATTCAAATAAATAGTGCAAATTACAGATATAATATTGATATTTCGTTTTATGTATCAGAGAAATCATGAATTAATTCAACCGAAAAGAATTAAAATCAAAGAAGCAACATTAATGTGAAAAATAGGTATGACTTGTTTTTTTATTATCAGGTAAGATAGCAAAAATAGGTATGATTTGTTAAACGAAAGAGATTAAAAAAACATCATATTGACTTATTTATCATTTTATCGAAAAAACCAACCGGGACTATCACAAGGAAAAGAAAGTTAATAATTTATTCCTTTTCTAAAACCTACAAACCTAGGGCTATGTTACTTTATTCATCTTTTTTTGGGCAATATAATATTAAATTCATATATATATATTCTGAAAAGAATGTGCTTTTTACGGATATTTATTTGGTCAAATCATAAATAGAAAAAAAAAACATCTTACATTAGTTGCCCAAGTAACGCATGCCTTAGTTTTTCTTTAATTTATTTTTTATTATTATCCCAGATGAATAAGGTGATCCCGTGTACACAATTAGACGTAGGGCACACCTAGTCAAACACAGTACTATAATGTCATATGTCTAGTTACAATGCCCAATCAATTCATTTCAAGTGTTCAAATAATGTTGTTTGACTAATGACTTAAGCATATTGGACCTTCTAACTACAACATGTTTGTCTTTATTGTCATCACCCGTCACATCATCATGTCACGTAGATGTCACTTGACATATATTTTTGCCATATGAAATAGTTACATAAGTTAGGGATAAGATCTTGGTGGAATATTCTAGAACTATGGAGAATTTCCTTAGAAAAGTTCTAGATATTTATGCATTTGTAGGAAGGTTCTAGAGAAATATAGAGGTTTCCTTAGAAAGACCCTAGAACCCTATAAAATTGTGAGGAAAGTCCTTAGAAGAATCTAGCTGTATAGAATATTCTAGAGAAGAGACTTAGTTGTAAATATGAAAAGGACTTGTAGAACAATTATAATTTACATACTAGCCCCTAGATGATTAGTATAAATAAGGGCATTCATTTGTAATTCATCAACCAAGCAAAACAATCAAGTTCTCTCTAATACAAAAGCTTCCTTTGGCAATTCTCATGTGTTCTAACATTTCTTAGCGATCATGAGTGTAGTAGGGCTGACTTGGCATAGCAAGAACGTGAGCAAGTTGTGCAAGATCGTGAGTGAGTTGCCAAGTGCCGCACGTGCACTTTGTTTAAAACTAAGGACATGACAATGTGGTATCACAGCAAAGGTTATGACTAAGGAATGTTAGAAAGAATACAAGAGATTACTAGAAGAAAGTTTTGTAGGGAACCATGGCCGGAATTACCAAGGGCTTGGTACTTGCAGAAGGGATCAACGCGAAGGTCCCTAAGCGAAAACAGTATGGTGGTGCACGGGCTGCACGCGAGGTGGCAGACTGGTGGAAGCTAAGGGAGCTCTGACGGAGGCCACAATTCGGGAGTATGTACGCGAGTTCACTATCTTAATGCTGCAGATCTCGTCATTGTCCGAGGAAGATTCCCTCTTCTACTTCATGGACGGGTTGCAAAATTGGACAAAGTAGGAGTTAAGAAGATATCAAATAGCCAATGTGAACGGGGCCATCGGAGTAGCCTAGTCACTTGTTGACTTCAAGATGGAGCCTGCCAAGTCCAAAGAAGGCAACGCCGAGAGGGATGTGGGAGATAATGATGAGGACAACGGGAAATGCATAGCCGAGGTATACAAGGGTAATGGCAAGGGACCATCCCATAACGGACAGGGATCTAAGAGAAACGGCAAGGGGCCGGAAAAATGGTATGGAGTACGTGCCTAAAGGAGGGTGCTACTTCTGTGAAAGATCACATCGGGTAAGTGAATGCTCAAGTTGGGGAAGCTTGCAGCAATGATCGGAAACTTTGCTCAAGCACATAAGGGTGACATAGGAGAAACTACAAGGATGGCGAGCTACAAAGTGATGGTATGCTATCGGACTCAAATGATGCACCAAGCAGAGGGTTCAAGTTTGCTAGTAAGGTTGGACCACGGAGGGCAGCCAAATAGGGAGTGGAAACATGGACTCGATGCTTGAGAAGCTGCTAGACATGGTTGAGTCATGGGAAGATTCAGGCCAAGAGCAAGGAGGGGCATCCGATGGGCGGAGGATGGAGGCCATCATTGCTAGCCGTCCAAAGTACAAACAGCGAAAGAAGAAAGGTAGCTAGTACCTTGTGAAATGGGAAGGAGAACTGCTTCATAGGGCATCATGGCTAATGGACAAAGATTTCCGACGATGCCAAGGCGATGTGCGCGCGTACGTGTCGATGCTTTGTGCCTAGGGCGACACAAAATTGGGCGGGGAAGAGTGTCATGACCCGCCACATCATCATGCCACGTAGGTGCCACTTGGCATATATTTTTGCCATATGGAATGGTTACATAAGTTAGGGACAAGATCTTGGTGGAATATTCTAGAACTATGGAGAATTTCCTTAGAAAAGTTCTAGATATTTATTCGTTTGTAGGAAGGTTCTAGCGAAATATAGAGGTTTCCTTAGGAAGACCCTAGAACCCTATAGAATTGTTAGGAAAGTCCTTAGAAGAAACTAGCTGTATAGAATATTCTAGAGAAGGGACTTAGTTGTAAATATGAAAGGACTTGTAGAACAATTATAATTTACATACTAGCCCCTAGGTGATTAGTATAAATAGGGGCATTCATTTGTAGTTCATCAACCAAGCAAAAAAATCAAGTTCTCTCTAATACAAAAGCTTCCTTTGGCAATTCTCATGTGTTCTAACATTTCCTAGCGATCATGAGTGTAGTAGGGCTGACTTGGCATAGCAAAAACGTAAACAAGTTGTGCAAGATCGTGATTGAATTGCCAAATACCGCACGTGCACTTAGTTTAAAACTAAGGACGTGACACTATTCTACAATTATAAATAGCAGTTTCTTTAGGTTGGATGGTCTTCAATTTCCTCAAAAAGTAAAAATTGTTTGTCGTAAAAGAAGACACATCATTTCATCAATTATACATTCAAGATTCTAGTTTATGATTTTGTTCAGAATATTTTATACATCAAGATCAAGCTCTTAAATATTGAGAAGTAGTAGATTCTTAAATATTGAACGTAATTTATGTCTGAAATCAATATTTTGAGAGAATACTTTTATAAATTAATATTGCTCCTCCCATTCCATTTTATACGCTGATTTTTATTTAAACGACATGGAATAATATGTGTTATATTGGTTAAAGTTAGAAATTATTAAATAACGATTGAAAAGTTAGCACATAAGGCATTACACTATGAATAGTTTAAATTTTTTGAATTTTTATGAGTTAATAAGTTAAAGTTGTATAGAAATGGAATGATGTCAAACATTTTGAAATTCATAAAAAGAAATGTCACAGCAATTGAAATTGATAAATTAGTATTTTGCTTATGAATTTCTAGCATGTTTGGTAGGACCATGTTAACATCTTATCTCTATTTCAATTTCTCGATAAAAGAACCATGCACGGATTCAAAACTAGAGTTCAGAACCAAAATATTGCTTTTTTGGACTCAAAACACAAAAATAGGTGAAAAACAACGGATGACTAAAGTTTATATATATATATNGTATAGCGCATTTATTACATGCGTTATATGTAAACTTTACTGACCCACCAATAATTCATCTGAACTTTACTGACCCATCAATAATTGAGGGTATAGCGCATGCATAATCGGTGCTACATATATAGCGCATCCTATATATGCGATATACCCTCAATTATTGTACCCCCAGACTGATTTTTTTCTTATTTAAGGAGTTTTAGAATTTCGGTAAAAATCCATTCAGGATCCTTCAGGTCTTCCGAAATATTTGCTTGCTTCACTTATTTTGCATTTTGTCATCATTTCCGAAGAACAAAAAATTAGGGTTGCATTATATGGGGGGGGG